ATAATTGAGGTACTGGTTCGAGTAGCTACCATACAACTTCATATTTGTATTGAAATTTCGAGCGAACGAATAAATTATTAGGGATATTGTTTTTGATGAAGTCGTTGAAATTTCTTAGCTTCTTCTGTCTTGGGTTGTCATTGCGTTCAATCCTGTTTTCTTCTTGTCTCTTTGATTGTCCTTAGTCATGTTGCTGATGGTCTTCCTGATCCTCTCTTATGGCCTTTTTAACAGCGTGCTGGAAAACATAAGAGAGGATCAGGATAACCGAATATCTATAAGTACCATAAGAGATGGTACATACATTTATTCAGTTTTCGTACGACTTATTTTTAAACCATGATTTTCAAGAGCGTTGGTCCACCGACCTACTTTGGTATGCATCTCCTCTATGAAATCGGCTAGAATTACAATGTAGTCAGCGTATATTATTGTCCAAGAACAGGATCTTTGATGTACCTGCTAATATAGTCGAAAGCAGTGATGAAAAGAATTGAACTAAGGGCTGATCATTGATATATGCCAACGTCAACTCTAAATTGTTTCGATAGGCCACTCCTACTTTTCACTTGCGCTTTTTACTTGTTGTATTTTTCTACATGTCCCTGTCAATATATTTTTCAGGAACTTTTTGATATCGAAAAACTTCCCAAACTCTGGGTAAATGATCAAAAACTTTTTCTAGATGTAACAATGCGATATTCAAATCATTGTTCTTTAATTTGTATCTTTTCAACATGATTCTAATTGTTTGTATTCCATCAGTAGTTGAACTATCTTTAGCAAAACCAAACTAGTTCTTATTGATTTGTATTAATTGCCTATAGCCTATTTTCAATTACTTTTTACCAAATTTCGACTATATGTGACGTCAATTTTGTGCCCCTGTAGTTTTTGCAATGTTGTACATTGCCCTTGTGTTTTGTTCATGTAAAGGGACAAGTATACTATTTCTAAAATCTGCGGGTATAGCGTCACCTTCTATTAACTTGTTGAACATCTTTTGCAATAGAATTTCTCCCTGAGAGCCCATTTTCTTTCCAAGATCAGCTGGAATATTATCAGAACCAGCAGGACTTATTATTTTTCATGCTTTGTAAAGCTACTTTTGTTTCTTATAGAGATGACACATTTAATGGTCCATGCACAGCTGGTAAATTTTCGATAAGCGTCGTGATCTAATTCCTCATTTATCAGTTCTAGTACTCTTCCCACCTTTTTCTAGCAGCTTCATTGGTCGTTGATAGCTCTCGATCTTTGCTACAGATAAATTTAGTCTCTGATTTTATAGATTTTGTACATTTGATTTTGCCAGTCATGTGTTTCTAAATTATCACAGCTTAAATTATAATAGCTTAAATATTAGCAAACAAATTTGGTAATGTGCCTATAATTTTCAGTAAAACTCTTTTAGATTGGATGAATTTATATGGTAACTACCATATACGTATGCATAAAATAGAACTAAACATAAAAAGCAAGAGGTTTTAAGAAACTGTATATCAATTATCTCCGACATTTGAAATCATTTATACCGGTATCACAGAGTTGACACGGTCAACTATATCTATCGTATTTTTTTTTGAGTAGTAGATTCCACACAATATCGCCATTTTATTTTTCAAGTTTATTTCAATTTGACAATTTTCTTTTGTCAACAATATTATTTTAAAATTTGTCCAATACACATACATACAAACAAACATATAATTACATAAACATTTATTTAAAATTTTGTAAATAAACATGTATTCGTTCATACATCCATACAATTTTTATATTTTTTTTTATAAATAATCCTTGTGTTTCATTTCATATTATTTTTATTAAGTAATACGCCCATATTACACAACATAAGTTACTCATCTCATTAAAATTCATACCAAAAAAAAAACTTTTCAATGCTGCTGCCTATGTAGCTATATCCAATTTGTAATTCTAAAAAAAATTAAAAAACAACAGGAACAAAAGTTCAAATACAAATTAAAACAAAACAAAAAAATATTCTTTTTAAATAACGTTACATAAACAAAAAAAAAAATAATCATAATAGCAGTAGCTAGCATAAAAAAGCGAAAAAATAAAACAAAATTAACAAACATTATTAAGAACAGCAATAACAACAATAAAACAAAAGGTAATGATGGTAACAAAAAAAAATCTGATGTGGTCAGCATATAACCGCCCGCAATATATATTGTCTAGTTTAGTAAAAAAATTTACAGAAGAGTAGGAAAATGCATTTTGTACATTTAATTTCAATTTTAAGGTAGTAAGCAAGCTTTTAGTTAACATACCTAAAAAACTGTAAATTTGGCTTTTAGTAGAATCTCGCTCTGTGCGACTTAAATTCCCTGAACGAACCAGTTACGTTAAGTAACAACCAGAACTGAAATATTAAATTTCAAGAAATTTCATCAATTCCTTAAGCAGATATGGTAGAAATTGTAAAATCCAAAAAATCTGATCTTTCCAAAAACTTTATTAATTCATTGTTTTAACACTCCGAATTTAAATAAAATTATAAGGAAATTGGTTATTAACGATATAAATTCTTTATATACGCAAAAATGTGAAATTGGCGAGCAAAAAAATTCAATTTCAGAGGTTTGATATAGTCAGAGACTCAGCCGAACTTAAGACACACGTACACAGACCGACAGACCAACATCTCTTTAAGAGCAGTTTATTTACGCTTCCCTACTATTGAAAATTATGTTCCCACCGAAAACTCGACATTCAAAATTTGGTCCCCTCACATCACCAACCTTATTGTATACGATGCGGTCGCTAAAAAAAAAGTAAAAAAAAATTTCCAATGCACAACTCCAAAAAAATCAAAAAAAAAAAAAAAAAAAAACAATTCCTTTTTCTGCCGTTTTTAACTTTTTCTTTTTTTTGCGTCTTTTTTTTTGGCGTAGGAAGAGGCTACGCGCCTTACGAACGAGGGAAACGGAAATTGCAATAGACACGATATTACATATAGTACCAACAAATTAATCAAACACATTATTATAACATACATACATAAATAAAAAAAATAAATATACAAACAAAATAAATTAGCAGAGCAAAGAAACGAAGACAAAAAAAAAACAGATAGGTAGGTGGGTATATAAAATGGGTAAAAATGAATAAAGTAAAACGGTTTTTACTCTTTGTTTTTTGACAAAAAAAAAAGAAAACGGAAGAAAAAAAAAGGAAAACAAACGTTAAAAAATAACGAACTGAGAGAAAAGAAAGAACAAGAAAAAGAAAAAAAATTGAAACGGTATTCAAACAAAGCCAACAAATTCACTTTGATGATATAATTAATCAAAAAAAAAAAAAAATAACAGTAAAAAAAAAAAAAAACAAAATTCAATATTTTAATTTTTTCTCCTTTTATTCTTTTCTGTTTTTTTTTTCTATTTTCATTTCATTTTCTATTCTCTGTCCTTTTCTTCATTTCTATTTGTTTTTCTCTTATTTTTCTCTTAGTTTTTTATTTTTTTTTTTTTTTTTATTTAAAAACGACATTTTATTTTTTTCTATAAAATTATTTTAAAATATTTTTTTTTGTTTTCTCTCTTATTTTATTTAACTTTTTTTTATTTGACTAACGAAAATGATTTTTTTTGTTGTTCTTTTGTTTTTCTTGATTTTTGTATACGAGTATGTAAGTACAAGCATATTACAGAAATATCGTCATATTATAGATTTTATCAGACAATAAAAAAGTATATACATACGAAATTAAATATGCAGAGCTTACTAGCTTAAAGACTAGTAGCCCCAAGAAAGACTAAGTGAGATGATAGCAGTTGGCCTATCCTATGAGCAGTCTGACTATATTCCGATCATTTATTTTTCTTGCAGTAGTCCTTGAATGGGGAGTTTATTTGTGGAAAAAAGTTTCAAAAAATTCAATAATAGAAACTTCTCTCTAAATTTTATTAAATTTCAGTAAAATTCTTAAAATTAAATTTTTTTAACAAAATAAGGGCTCTTAAAAGTGTCAACTGCCGTTTAGAATGACTATTTCGCCTCTCCTTAAGTTAATAAAAAGCAGTAATACCGTCAATTTTTCGAGTTTATGCTCTTATTGAAATTTTTAAAATCTTGATATACAGATGCTGTTTTTTGCTATATCTCCGAGGCCATAAAATATTTTTGAACATTTTCACTTAAATTATAACTTAAGAAAGTGGCAAAAAGTAAAAATTGAAAATTAATATAATACAAAAGGAAAAAATGGAATATTTCTAAAGTTCGAACGCTTGGCATCCCGAAAATACATAAAATACGTAACAAAATAATAACTTGCTTTCAAGTCCAACAGTTTGCATAAACCTTTTGGAAGGGAATTTATAAGTCAAAAAGTTTGGACGAATAGAAATTTTCTGAATATTTTTTAAAATCCCTGTATCTCGGAAATCATTTAGATTTAAATAGTTCAAATTGAATTTTATGTTAAGTATTGGTATATTACCCCACAAGGGAATTGTTTGCTGTTATTATTGCTAGCCTAATTTTGTTTGTAAGGGGAATTTATTTCAAACAGCTATTTTCAGTTTTTGTTGGTTGGAAGTTGGTAACTGAACAATATAGATACGACGTTGGTCTCGCATGATTTAAATAAGTTAAGATAGCAATTATTTGGTTGTTATTTGAAGTTTAGACTTGTTCAGTTGTCATGTGTCTAGTTCAGATTTTTCTCTTTTAAATAACATTTTGAATGGCTAACATTTTGAATTTATTAATATGATTACTATAAATTTTGTTTATCTTTATCTTATATATTTCTGTAAATTAAATTAAGTTATCATTTAGTATGTTTTCATCAATTTATACTTTAAATTAAATGAAAAACTATGAATAACTGAAAAACAATTCAAATTTTTATATTATAATATTTTTATCATATTAATTCTTTAAATAATAACTTCTATATATATATATATTTTTTTGTGTTAATTATAAAAATATTTATTATCTTTTTTCTTTTAATTTTTATTTAGACTCATCTTGATCAAAATGCAGCATCTGGTCTTGCGGCATCACTTAATTTTCCAGCTGAAATTGATTTGTTGTCAGAACGTTTATTACAGCAACAAGAACATATTCAACGATTACAGCATGAGCATCAAAATATAAATTTTCAAGAATTACAAAATCAATTAAGTGTAGCTCAACAATTTACAGTTGCTGCCGCAGCAGCAGCTCAAGTTAATGCAAATTCAAAACATAATCAATTAAAACAGCAACAATCTGCTATAAATACTTTAGTACAACAGCAGCAACAACAACAACATCATCATCATCATCATCACCATCAGCAACAACAACAGCAACAGCAACAACAACCATCTACAGTTTTACATCCCCAATCACCAAACCCTGGTGCTTTAGCATTTTTACCATTTTTAAGACCACCTTATCATCATCCCGCTGTTCAACCCATGTGGGATCCAGCTCATTTGCAGGCTCATATTCAAGCAGCATTAGCGGCAGCAACTGTTACAAATAATACTTTAAATGAGGCAAATCTAACTAATAATCAAATGCAACTCCAACATCATCATCAACATCATCTTCATCATCAACAACAAGACCAACAGCAGCAGCAGCAACAGCAACAGGAACAACAACAACAGCATTTTATTCAAAAAATAAAAACTGAACCAAGACAAAGCATTTCACCGATGGCACCATATGATGCAACAACTCAACCTCTTGCCAATGTGGCAGCGTTAGCATTGCAACAACATCAGCAGCAATTGTCTAGTGATTTAGATGCGCCATTAAATTTGTCGAAACCGAAAAACTCGCCGAGTAACTCACCAAAATCTTCTATATCAACTCATTCTTCATCAACTGTCGCATCGCTTTTAACAACAACCACAACAACAAGCCAACAGCAGTTAGCAAATAATTTACAGCGTCAATTTTTACCATACTCGTCCGCTGGTGGACTAGGCTCTGTTGTATCGTCGTCGCATTCACATGCATCTCGTTTTGATATGCCAACTGATTTATTACGTATGTGGGCCGCAAATACCGATCAATTAAATGTTGCAGCAACGAGTGGCCACTTATCACAATTGCAATCAAATAGCTTAAATAATAAGAAATCATCGTCAATGTTAATTGATGAAATTAATAACGATCGTCAAATACGTTTCACACGGCATTCTAGAACAAGTCGAGATTGTGGTAATGGTTCTAACAACATGGATATAGGTAGTACAGGTGCTTCAAATTTATCAAGCATTAGTAGAAATTTATTAAATGATGATGATATACGTTTACCATCATTATCAGAACGTAATAATAATCAAAATTCAGCTGGTGGAGGAGGTGGTGGCGGCGGTAGTGGAGGTGGCAGTACTGGCGGTGCTCGTGGACGTGGTAGTAATAGTGGTAATAATTCTGGTTCAAATAGTGAACATCATCGTGAACCCAGTAAGCCACATATTAAAAGGCCTATGAATGCTTTCATGGTATGGGCAAAAGATGAAAGAAGAAAAATATTAAAAGCTTGTCCAGACATGCATAATTCAAATATATCAAAAATATTGGGTGCAAGATGGAAAGCAATGTCCAATGCTGATAAACAACCATATTATGAGGAGCAATCAAGATTATCAAAATTGCATATGGAGCAACATCCAGATTATCGTTATAGACCGAGACCAAAACGAACATGTATAGTTGATGGAAAAAAAATGAGAATATCAGAATATAAAGTATTAATGAGAACAAGAAGAGCTGAAATGCGTCAGTTATGGTGTAGGGACGGTAGTGACAATGTAGCATATTTACAAGATATACAATCAGTTAATGTTGGCGGTGGTAATCGAGGTGATGTTAGTGGCGGGGGACTTAATGCTAATCAAGCAAATGCAAATGATTCACGTAATCTTATTGGTTGTGGTAATACATCAAATTTACTAAATGATACACCTGGACCAAGTGGTTTATTAGGACATAGATCCACTTGTGGTGGTAATAATATTAGTAATAATAGTGGTACAGGTATTATTGGTAATTGTGGTAGATCTTCGGTATCACCTAAAAATAATTTTATGGCAGCAGCAGCAGCTGCTGCTGCAGCTGCAGCAGCTGTTGCTGCTAGTAATTCACAAAATTTCTATTATCCACCAGAAAGTTTATCACCATCTGGTTTTTCATCAGAAGGTAACGCAACTAGTTTTGATTCAAGGGACGATGATTGATGGATTATATCAAAAGATTTTCAAAATCGTTATAATTAAAAAAAAAGAAAAAAACAAAAACGAAGAAAAAAAAAATACAATTTAGATAAATACTTTATAAAAAAACATATATTAATACATTTATAAATATATTAATATTTATATATATATATTTATATATGTATATACATATATATGCAAGAAAAGTACTAAAAAAAAAAATAATGTGCATAATTATTATGTATATTAATTGTACTTGTTTAATTTCAATATAGTAATAATAATATTATATAATAAATATGTAGTAATGTTAGAGAATATTATTAAAATTTAGGTAATAATAATGTAGAAAAAAGAACTTATTAAAATAATGTATGTAATTAGTTTATATATTAATCTGTGCCTGTGTCTCTGTATATTGTTCATGCTATTAAAACAAAAATAGAAACAGATTTATATAAATATAATAAAGGATTTGTTCATAGAAGAACAGTATAAATGCTAGATTTTAGAGAACAATGACTACAGATTTGAAAATTTTCACTTTACATATTTTTACATATATGTACTCGTATATGTTTAAAGAATAATCTATATAGAAATAATTTGTACTCAGATGACTATTCGACAAGTTTTTGTAAATTTACAGATTTGTATAACAATAAAATTTAATTAATATCGTATTTGGTGCCGCTTTATTACAATACATAAATTTTTTTTTCCTTAAAAATTTTATTTGCAACACATAAATATTTTTTTGAAATTTATAATTATATTTTTGACCTTAAATTATCGGACATTTTTAAATATTTAATGTATAAGGTTATTCAAGGACTATGGACCATAGAAACTACATTTCCAGGAAATACCCTACATTTATTTGAAATTATATGTATATGTAAAGTATATGTATGTAAATAGCATAGAGCAAATAAAAAAAAAACGAAAAACTACAGAGGCGCACACAAAGAACAAATTATTCATTCACAAAAAAAAAAATAATTTTTTTTTTGTTAATTATATATACAAATACTCGTACATATACTCAGATATATTAATTAGTTGTATAAAAGAAAAGATACATATGAAGAAAATATGTAAGAATTTTTTTTTTTTTTGTAAAATATAAGAATAAAATTTTTTCAGAGATAAATGTGTGCTTAGGTATACGTAATTATTTACATGTTATATAAAACAAAAAAAAAAACTATAATACAATTAAAACTCAAAAATGAAAAAAAAAGTAAAAAAAAAAAATATATACGCAAAATTAAGGGATAATTGGAAAATTTTAGATAATATACTTTTCTTGTAATAACTATACACACATATATATATATATATACATAATACTTATTTGCTTCTATCTTTAAGTCTATAATACTAAAAAAAAAACAACACATAGCTGTAAGATAACTGAACAATATATAAATAATACTTTAATAATAAGATTTAATGAATTGAGAAACAAATAATAAAAAATTAATATGGGTATATATAGGTAATAAGAATAAATTAATTAAAAATGTAAAAATATGCAAAACAAAATGAAAACAACCACTCCAACTCCCCTCAAAACACTCCATTCAAAATTTAATTTTAACTCATTTATTATTTAAGTTCAACATTTAAAAATCTAAAGTAAATTTTCTTGAAAAAAATATTTACAAAATCAATTATAAATTAAAATTATACTAAAACGCAATAATTTTGTGTAGGACTTAAACTAATTTTAGGATTAAAGTAAAACGGGCGTAAAGTAAATCTATTCTCTTTCAGCCGAAAACTAATAAAATTTAAATTTTCGGAAAGCATTAAATAAGTAAACTGTGTTTTGAGTAAATTCAATTTGAAAATAGTAAATCATAAAATAGTAAAACTAATCAATTAGTGCAATGGGATTGGTCTCTTTAATTTCTGGATTTATAAACTATATTCTGGATTTGAATGATTTTTTGCCACAACAAAGATTATCTTATTCTGATTTAATTCATCTATATGAAATCCGAATTTTCAAAAAAATGCACTTAGTGCTTTCTGCTTTTTAACCGACGATATTTTCTAAAAATTTCAAGTTGCTGATTTACCCATAATTTATGTATTTGCAAAACGCTGACTATTATTTATTTTAACCAGTATGTTATTATTTCTTTTAATTTTTTTTTTTTATTTCATACATAAATGTATGCAATATTTTTGGTATATGAAAGAAATTAATTTAATAGCGTAATGGATTGTTTTGTGAGAGCCACGTGGTTTACGTTTATTCAGTTCTAGAATAAATATAGATCCAGAATAAATATAGATCCAGAATAAATATTCAGTTCTAGAATTAAAATATAAATCGTTCGGAAATTACTGGTTGCAATAAAGTGCGTTCGAAAATTCAATCTTTAATAAAGAAATATCAGAAATGTAGTGCAGACTTCTAGTTTAAATTTTGTCGCTGCCCTCCTGAAACTTCTTCTTTTTTCTTTGAAATTTAAAATTCAAAAAATAAATTAAATTTCAAAATGGCAGATTCAGATATTGAAGAATTATTAAAATAGGTTTTCTTTAAGTCTTCAAATCTTGTTAAAATTTCTATATTTTGCAGTGAATTGGAGGGCGAAAAGTATTCCGGTACTATTTCATAAACAATATCATTTCTGTTATTTTTGAATGACTAATTATTTAAAATTTTTAGAATTTGTAGACTGCGTAAACTAAAAAAACTTAACTGAAGTTTTTGCATTCTGTTTAACGGACTTAGAAATTTTAGTTTTAATGTAGAACTTTGAGCGCAGCGTGCATAAATGAAAACTCCCCCAAATCCAAATTTATATAGGACTAAAATCGAAATTTCAAATTCTATATTTTATTATAAACTCATATACATTTCGTCGGTATTGTGGAAGAGTCACGAAATTTACGTTTTACAGAAAAATTCAGAATTTTCTAAACTATCTTTATAACTAATCCCACGTAACTCTAACGTTAGCATTTAAAAAAAAAATAATGTTGTTAATTTTACACACATATGCAAATTGATATTAGTGTATATATTTTAAAATGCATTTTTCTTGAAACACAAAATAAGAAGTTTCGTGACTCTTCCATAATACTTACGATATATGAATATATATAGTTTTGAATAATCGACTTATCTCCTCAAGAGTGATGCATTTATATAGTAAAGAATATATATAAGTACATATTGGAGACACTTATATAATTAAATGTTAATGGTTGAAATTTAATTATTAATTAAAATTATTTCTAATTTCTATATAAATTTTTTATATACCTTTAAAATTATAAACAAACTTTCAAAAGTGATTTCCAAAAAAATTTGATTATGTATTGAATTATAAATTAATATAATAGTACATTCCAATTTTGTAGTCAAGTTGAGAGGGGGAGGGTAGTATCAAGTTGAGACAGCATATTGAAAAAAAAAGTATATTTAATATACACTTCTCAATCTGTCAAAAAACAGTGATGATTTTAAAAACAAATACTTACAATTTTGCGTCATCATGTTACAGTTATTAAATATAGTTAATTTAACTGTTTATATAGGAATCCGATTGCAGTTACAGTTTTTCTTTTATTAATACGGCAATGTAACTCTGAAATTTTTTATAAACACCCTGTATGCCATTATGTTTTTTTTTCTTTTGCATTTAAATTTTAAATAAAATTGTTTAATAATGTCAAAATTTTCGTTCTGCTTATTTTAAAATTATTTTCTAATTAAGTTTAAATTTTTCGCATACATACGTACATATTATGTTTATTACGATTTCTCTTCTACGTATATATCAAATTGGACAATATAACAATTTCCTTATACATCTTAATAATTAATTTATATAATATTATTCTTAATTTTATTGTGATTATAAATTATAAAAATATTTTGTTGAACTTGGAAAAAATAATTGAGTTAAAATTTTGTAAAGTGTTATACAATATAATTATATATATATAATATGAATATATATATGCATATATATATATATTTATTATATCATATAACACCTTTTTAATTATATTATACTTAAAAATTCGAAAAAAAAAATAAATTAGATAATCTTCTTAAAAAAAAATTTAATACACTAAAAGAAGATCTTAAAATGAGAGCTATTTTTTCTTTATCTCAAATTACCCTATAATAATAATTATTAATATACTTACCGGAAAATAATGGGAAAATAAATTATTACTTTTACTATAATTTTTTGCATTGAATACAATAATTATTTTTTTTTTTAACTAATTTTCAATATTGTATTTTTTTTTTTTGAATGTCTCAGTGTAAAAATATTAAGTAAAATTTTTATTGATCCCACCAACAAACATAAGTGTTTCACATATATGAAAACGCAACAAATAATCGGAAAAAACTTGAAATGTATTTGTACAATAAAGGATATAAAATTATTTTATATAGTACTAAGTTTAAAACAAAAATGGAAACACGATAATTTAATTGAAATTTTATAAAATGGCAGAGAGTAATCTAAACATGTAATATGAGAAAATTTAATTAATTGCGAAAAAAGAAAATTTGGGAAAATAGAATTAATTATTGAATTATTTAAGAAAAAGGGAAAAATACGCAGTTATTACTTATTATAGCAAAAAATAAAAATAATTCTTGATCATAAAGAAAATGAAATTCCTATCGAAAAGGAGTAAAACAAAGTAAAAGAGAGAAAAACTTATTTAAAATCGATATTTAACAAAAAAACAAAAAAACAAATGCAAATCTTATATAATATAAATGAATTATATATATAAATATTCATACTCATATATATATATATATATATATATATATATATATGTACATATATATTATTTATATAGATACCTATATCTTTATAAATTTCATAAACTTTATCCAAAGCATTCAATACAATTCAATTTTTAACCATTTAATCCTTAGACGAACCACTTGATTCGGTGAAATGCGTTAATATTTTATATCCAAAAATTATTAAGAAGTTTTGATTTTAAATTCTAAAAATTACAAAAACAAAAATTTGTTATATTAAAAATATTATTATCTCCTGCAGTAGAATATACAATTAATACGTGATTTATTAATTTCAACTAAATTATATTTACTAGAAGCCCCTAGTGAGAATCACACTAATTTCAAATATTTTTGAAAACATTAAAACAAAATTAACACGTTGAGCTTCATGACTATAAAAAATATAAAAAAAAAAAAAACTTACGTTAAGTTCCATCATGCAACCCATGAACAAATCGAAAAGGCTTCCTATAATCCATGTCCACTTGTGAGCGACTTACTTTAAGTCCTTGTATCATAGGTGTAATCCTACAATTTAGAGAAACTAAGTTTTATGTATAAGAGCCACGTATATAAAATTTTATCTTTTTTTTTCTCCGTAAAAATCAAATTTATCTCTGCGTTACTTAGTTATTCGTATGTTCAGCAATGATTCAACTATTTTTGGCATTTAAGATTTTCTCACCGGTAATACGAGTACATTGAAACTCAAGGTGTTTAAATATGAATGTGTGTACATTAGTAATTCATTAAATGAAGGAAGGAAAATTAAAGCTTAGATAAGGTAAGCAAGCCGGTGACTCGCAAAATATAAAAAATTACATCCATTTACATGTAATGCTCATAATAGTCAATCAATGAGTATTGATTTGAAATGAACATGAACTTAAATTTCAAAGTAAAAAAATACAAATTTCACCTCTCCATTCATTTGTTGGCTTGCTATACCACATATGAAATGTGAATGAATCACATATTTAGCATGAGTATAGTAATGCTCTGCAAAAATAAATTCATATTGAAGTGAAGCTAAACATACTGATGTCATATACACATTAGGTTCTATATAAACTTAACATATAACCTTTGCAAGCATTGTGCTGATTTACATAAAAATAAAACTGATATAGTCAACCCATAACCGATGAGCTTAAATGTTGCATGAGACTACGAAAATGACTTTTAAATACTCCTCACAAATTTTAGGGAGGCTAATACGCTTCCTAGAAAAATATAAATTTAGCTCTTATCAGAACCTGACTTTACACGTTTTGCAGAAATAAACAGAAACGAATTTTATCGCCTCTGCGCTGGCTATCGGATTTGCTTTGTATAATCTAATAAAGAATTTTCATTTTATTATGCTTGTACGACAAACTAAAATATTTAAAAAATTTTACCAAAAGTCCTAAGTAATTTGCAATATATTATATATAGAACAATATTGATAAATATTTTTACAATATATTTTTGGATTTTTATTTTAAAAATTACAAAAATTGTTATTATTTATTTAATTATGTCTCATATATTAATATTATAATCACTTTTTGGAAGAAAGTAAAAGAATTTTCAAATTGCAAATTGAACTAATGTCATTGTTACTTCCAAATTCCTTACAATATTGCTACAATAATATAACAAAGCCTTTTCATTCAATGCAGCATATATCGCGATATATGTATATATTTCATATATATATATATATATATATATATATATATATATATATATATACGAAGAATACGAACGTTCGTATTCTTTTCCATATATATATAGAAAAGAATATATAGAATAATAATATATATATATATATATATATATAGAAAAGAATACGAACTATGTGGTTTTATTTTATATGTGGTTATTTATATGAACTATGTGGTTGGCTCTATGTGGCAGATATATAATCATCATGCATTATGTTTGTTTTTGCAGTATATTGCGTTTTTTAATATTGTTTTGCTGGCAGTATTGCGTTTTTAAAAATCTCTATTATTTTAAAATTGACATATTTCATGTATATGTATACTTAAACAACATATACATTGTGTGGTAAATGTTGCGGAATACAAATGGATCACTTTATCCAATACATTCAATTCTTGATGTATCTTGATGTATATTTCTTGATGTATTGATATAAAAATATATATATACATCTATATATATATATATACATAGAAATATACATATATATATACATATATACATATATATATATATACATATATATATATGTATATATGTATATATATATATATATATATATATATGTCAAATATAATTTTATATTAATATATATATATATATATATATATTATATGAGCATTTATGTTTATATATATAAATATTAAAATACAAAATTTGGAAAAAATTCTATATATATACAATATATAGACATATATGAGCGAACAAAAATAAACCAGAGTATAGAAACTATAGAAACTATAGAATAATAACAATAATTATAATTATTAAAAAAAAAACAGGAAATCTACTAAAAAAAATAGATAATTTAAATAAAATTAATAAAAAAATAAAAACACAAAGCAGTGACAAAATATTATAACAATGATAAAGTGAATTTAAAAAAAAAAAGAAATTATATAAAAAGTGCCATAAAATTATTAGTCAAAAAAAAACGAAAAAAAAAATATATATAGCTAGATTTTATTAATATATATAAACAAAAATATAACTTATATATACTTGGTATATACAAACATGTACATACCAAGAATACCATATATATACTTGGTAAATATCTATAAATTTATAAATATATTAATGGTTATATATCCATTTATATAAAGTAATGAAATATATAAAGAATATAAAAAAACCACGTTAAATGAAATGAGATATAAAAAAAAAGAACAAAACAAAAAAACAAACAAAAATAATAGTGTAAATTTTATTTTATTTTTTTTTTTATTATATTTTATTATTAAATTTTTTTTACCTAGATCTTTAATCATATTATTATATAATAATATTAATTTAGTTTTATAACTTATTTTAAAAATTTATTATACATATATCATATTATGATATATATATATATATCATGCACATTATCATATATATATATATATATAATACTTCTTTTCAAAACTATATAATATATAAATAATAATAATTAATTATACACACCCATATTTTTTTATTCCAAATGCTCATCCATAGACGTATTACTTTTGAGGTCAGTATTATATAGAATTTCGAAATTTTGGAATTTACGATTTTATTAAAGAAAATTTCTAGATTTTTAAATAAAAATCCATCTGACATCAAGAGTGATGCGACTAACACAACAACATGGCCTAAAATATTATATTTTTTAATTATATATATACAATAAATTTTATTATACAATTTATATAATTATGACCTTATATAAAATATATCATTAAAAGAATAATTTATAATAAATGAAAATATTCACAGATCATAATTGTATTTTCTGGAAAATTTTTTAGCTTTTTGTAAAATTTCTCATATATTTCATTCAAAAATAATTTTCTATATATTTCCGTTTAAATATATACAAGTAAAACTTGATGTGTTTTTTGGGATATTAAATATTATATAATGTTTAGCTACATAATATGTTTAGTATATTATATTTAAAAAAAGTATTGAGTTTGTTTTCAGTATAATTATTATATAAAATTTCCAAAGTTTTAGTTTTCAATTCCGAAAAATTACAGGAATATCCGAAAAATATGAATTGTGAATTTATATTTTTATATATTAAATCGAAAATTGTAATTAATTAATAAAGATTTATTGAAAATATCCCAATTACATTAATATCATAAAATTTTTAATTCAGTAATAATATATGAAAAAAATTATTAATTCAGAAATAATATATGAGTGTGTATTGAATAAGATCATAATATATATGTTTATATAGTGATCATAATATTGTAATTTTAAATT